ATCTTTGAATGACTAATGAACATTTAATTTCACAAACCTTGGAGAGTTCAGCTTGACTGGAGACGTGCGATTGACAAAGTTTAAACTCGTGATTTTAAATTATGCTGCGCTTTATGCATTTGCCCAATGTCATATTCATGTCATTTTCACTGTGTGCTGTATGTAAAATGAGTGTTACCTTGGCTTTATTTGAAAAAATATGATTCCCAATGCACACAAACTTCCCAGAATACTGAGTGCCCTGTTGGTTACAGTGTTTACTTCCTTTTTTATGAAATATTTATATCCATTTTCAAATTTCTTAAATATTAATTAAAATAAACAAAATTATATCGGCCATCGGCCACCCTGCTTTCCAAGATATCGGCATCGGCTGTCAAAAAACCAATATCGGTCAACCACTAATTACAATGATTAAATCATTTTAATGAAAATGAAATTAATAAATACATACATAACCATGCAATACTATAGTTAGTAGAAAAACCAAAGAATGCAACATTTATATACTATTATTTTGAAATACATTAAACTATAGTTGCCTTTTAAATTTCGGATGGAGGTCCCTCACACAAGGATGATCATATTTGGGAGTTTATGGTTTCTAAAAGATTGAAAACCCCTCTTACAGTATAGTAAGATGTACACGGTCTAGTACATTTACTGCATGAATAAACCAAAGCTCTGATCTCTGCAGTGCTGCTCACCTTTACTTTCCCTCTGTTCCTGCTGAACCTGCTGCTCATTTTCCTCCTCTTTCTTCTGCTGCTGTTTCTCCAGCTGCTGGATGAGTTTGCTCTCTTTGCGTTGTCTCTTCTCTTCTTTCTCTGGGGATGAAAGTGCAGACAGCAGCAATGAATTCAGCATTACAATATTACATTGATATACGAATTTCTGAGGCCTCTAAATGATCAATATGATCAAAACTTTGCTGAAAAACCTGTCGCACACCTTCAGCTCGTGCTTCATGTGTGTTTCTGCTGTGAAATCTTTACTGATTTTTATGAAGAAGTAAACATGAGAATAACTTTGATATTGTTAGTAGTATTTCAAGATGAACACTTACTCGACTGAGGTTGATAATCCTTTTTTTTTTTAAATCATGTTGAAATGTGAGTATCAAATATGATAATCAGTCTTTTGAGGAACGTTTATTCGTTTATCTCTCAGTCATCACTGTATTGCATCGCATTATTTGTTTTGATCATAAAATAAGCATTTAAATAACACAAGACATAATAGTAAGACATATTATTGGGAAATAAAGAGTGACAGCTGATATCTATATGCTATTTATATAAGTTATACAGTAATTCTTTGATTTACATCACATGCGATCAGAATTGAATCTTAAATGTAGAAAATTTTTAACAATACTTTAACTCATTTAACATTTTAACTTTCACTTACTTTGTTCTTTCCATTTCCTCCAGTTTATTCTCTCTTCGCCCTGCAAATAGAATTATTATAAACACGTGATATTAAACTGGCATAAAGTTTTTAACAGATTTAGACCATGAATGTGACACAAAACCGCCTGATAATGTAGATAATTTTTACCATTTCAAATGTATAACGAACACAGTAATATGAAAAACACAAAATAAGTTCAAACCTTATTATTTGAGAGATGATTTGTTTTATTTTTCTTCACTGGAGGTTCATCAGCCATGCTATTCTATGCGTGTTACACCTACAGTGATCCTCCAGACAACAAACACTCGAAATATTTGGTTCCTAATTGTTATTTAGCCCGACATGCATTAATTCCTACATTAACAAACATATACTTCATATATATTTATTTTCAGAATATATACCAATAATTAATACTCAAAACAGGCGAGGTTTTGCGGACATTGCGGTGGATGAGAGTGTTGTGACGGACGGATTTGACAGACGCGCTTCCTCTAATAGAACAGGCTCTGAGTAAAGAACATCGCGAGCTCGAGCCTCAAATAAAAGCATCAAAATATCAGAGCTAAACACCCAACAGCGGATTAAACAACACTTAACAGCTCTATAAACTCCTCGACACCACATATCACATCATGGTAAGAAGGAAATACAGCCAGTGTCGTGTCAAAGCCTTTGTTTAGCGCGAGTCTGCCTGACATGTGGCCGTGTCTGTTGAGTTATATTTGCGTTATATATTCTATACGTAACTATACTGTACACACTACAGAACAATCTGTGGTGTTTCTTATGAAAAAAAAACTATAAACATTTCACATTTCTTCTCTACAAAATAAATATAATATTGTGTGTATATAATTGTTAATATTATATGTTTATTTATATTGTATCTATAATGTTTCATATTACGTAAACGTAACAGTGTAATTATATATGTAATATATCTTTATTATAACGTACAATATAATGATACTGTAAATAAATACACATGCATATAATGTGTGTACATGTGTATAAATATTTGTATTTTCTGGTTTAATTGTAGTTGTTGTAAATGTGTTGTGTGTGTTTGACATTTTTAACAGTTTATGTTTATTTAAATATGTCTACATGGTTTTTATTCATTTTTATTTGAGTTTTATGTTTAGTTATTTTAGTACATCAGGTTAAACCAAATAAAAATGAGAAATGTTGCTTTGGCAAATAACTTTGTGATAAAATAAGTTTGTGTATATTTTATTCCACTTAACAATCATTTTATTTCAAGTAGCGTAACTGTTTTTTTTTTATTGATTTGTTAGTTAGTTATGATTTTAGTTTAGTTAACTACAATAACTAAAACTATTTTTATTATACTATATAATCAGGCTTGCAAAAAGGTGGAAAATTTCCAGTAAATTTCAGAAACATTCCAGGATTTTTTGGAATATTACAGGGATTTTTGGAAAGTTTCCAGAAATTTTCCACCTCTTTGCAACCCTATATATAATGCCATATAATATATAATACCTTAGTTAAATTATGCAAGACCTATGACTCATTACTGTGAATGTGGTGCTTATAATATTTGTTTTTCATTCAGTGTTATTACAAACCCTAGTGAGTCACATTCGCATGTTATCTTTATATGTTTATACGACTGTTTGTTTGCACTTTGGTTTGTGATGCGTAACACTTGTTGCATACAGTCATATTTCCCATGACTACCTCTGCATTCAACGACAGTAATTTGAGAATATATTACAAAATACTGAGTTTCCAGTTGTGGTTGAACTAGTTTTAAAATGACCCTGTGTCTGTGTACAGCCGCAGAACGAGCACATCGAGTTACACCGCAAGCGGCATGGCTACCGTCTGGACCACCACGAGAGGAAGAGGAAGAAGGAGAGCCGTGAGGTGCACGAGCGATCGCACAAAGCCAGAAAGATGATCGGCCTCAAAGCCAAACTCTACCACAAGCAGAGACACGCCGAGAAGATCCAGATGAAGAAGACGTGAGCGTTTCTTACAGTCAGCTTTACTGCAGTTAGAATATAGACAGCAGTGATCAAGGAGGTTTCGCTCAACTATTGTGTGTTTATTTGTGTTCAGCATTAAGATGCACGAGCAGAGGAAGAGCAAACAGAAGGATGATGACAAGACACCGGAAGGGGCGGTGCCAGCTTACCTGCTGGACAGAGAGGGCCAATCACGCGCCAAAGTCCTGTCCAACATGATCAAACAGAAGCGGAAAGAGAAAGCTGTAAGCATCGATTTATGCTATCACACTAAACATTTCAAACCTTGCTTACCCCACGCTTTAGGATTGTATTAGTAACGATTTCTGAGAGATCATGTGACACTGAAGACTGGCGTAATGATGCTGAAAATTCATAGAAAACAGTTCTTTTAAATTGTAATAATTGTTTAAGTTTTTACTGTAACTTTGATCAAATAAATGCAGCCTTGGTGAGCACAAGAGACTTCTTTCATTAACATTAAAACATGTTTATTCCAATCTTTTTCCGGTAGTGTAAAATGTTGGTTCTGTTGTAGCCAAGCAAAAAAACTTCACATTTGAAGCGAATATATGAAACTATTAAGGAAAAGCTAGAAGGTTTTATTCATATTTTGATGTTTAAACATAAAATTCGACCAATCCAGTCAGTTATCAATGGATTCAATCAAGTCCCAGCCTTCCCTTTTGTCTTTTTCTCATGAATTATCCTGACTCGTTTGGTAGGGACACATTACAGAAGTCAAACTGTTGCAAATACCAATGTAACGTTGCCTTTTTTGGTCCATGCTAAGTATGAGGTTTGTTTTATGTGTTTCTTTAGGGAAAGTGGGAGGTTCCTCTACCGAAGGTCCGAGCCCAGGGTGAAACCGAGGTTCTGAAGGTCATCCGCACAGGAAAGAGACAGAAAAAGGCCTGGAAGAGGATGGTGACCAAAGTCTGCTTCGTAGGAGACGGATTCACACGCAAACCGCCCAAATATGAGCGCTTCATCAGACCTATGGTAAAACACCACACATGCACTCTCAGGTTGAGCAAAATAGATCAAATAAAAATAATACCTCGAGTGAGTTGTGACAATAGAAAGCCCAAGAAGTGCATTAATATTATTGTACTTTTTTTTGATTATTTCAAAAATATATTTTTATTAATGGAGTTATGATTTTTAATGTCTACAGGGTCTGAGGTTTAAGAAGGCACATGTCACTCATCCTGAACTGAAGGCCACGTTCTGTTTGCCCATCCTGGGCGTAAAGAAGAACCCCTCCTCCTCCCTCTACACCACTCTAGGGGTCATCACCAAGGGAACGGTCATCGAGGTCAACGTCAGTGAGCTCGGATTGGTCACGCAGGGCGGGAAGGTCATCTGGGGTGAGTGTCTGATTGGCCCTTCACTTTCTCTCAATGCAGTCCTTGTGTTTCACAGGATAAAAACAGATATGATCTTGTGTTTCAGGTAAATACGCCCAAGTGACGAATAACCCAGAAAACGATGGTTGCATTAATGCTGTGTTGCTTGTATAATGGAAACCTGATAGATAGAACTGTGCCTCCAAATGCAGCTGGGAACAACGCTTATGTGGAATACTGTTGTCATCGGAAACACCTTGGAAAAAGATTGTTTAAAGACAGTTGATGGAGTTTTGTCTACACATCTGGACCCAAAGCTCACAAGAACATGTGGATCAGAAATCAGAAGTGCTGTTTATTTTCAAATAAAATGTTACACTGTTTCTCTTGGGTTTATTATTTTTCATGAATGGTTCTGTTTTAGGAGAGCAGCTGAAATACTGCTGTATTGTGATGGCATCACAGCAATATCACTGTATTTACACAGTGTCCTGGGACACTTCGCACCTATCATTTAGATAATTCAGATGCCATAAAAAGTCATCATTTACAGAGTCATTATTTTAAGTGAGATTTAAAATAGACATCAAATGTCTGATACATTGTTTACTATTCGACATGTGATAAATATGGCACTAAATGGAAAGTGTACAAATCTAGCAAATTATGATTTTTCGTAATTACACATTGTGAAAATGATCAAATTGGGCATGGTTCAATTAATTAGGCGCATTCATGTGCACATTGTTTTTGGTAAATCTGCAAATATCGGGGAATTTTTAAATTGTGATTTCTAGACATCTGAATTCGTAAAGACATTTTTATATTCTGTTCATTTCTAGGCTTGGTATCTGACGGACATCTGTCTCAGCAATGTCTAATCATTTTAAAACTCCTGATCCAGTGAATCATGGACCACTGGGAAACTCGATGAAAAAGATATAGAAATTAACTTGTCAGTGTGAACATGAATAGAATTCTCAAGAGTGAGTCTGTTTACATCATACAGCTTTATCCTAATCAATACGCAGATCAAGTATTTTGCCGTTTTATCTTGGTGCAACTGAAAAATAAAAGTTTCATGAATGTCTCAAATATGAAATTATGTTTAAATCAAGTTTTTTTTCTATTAAGATAAACAGGCACTTTGATTTACTCAACAAAACCTTCAATCAGAATCAGTGGTACATATCGACGACACGAATATGAATCCTGACAAATTGGAAACACAAATGATCTTTAGGTTTCATTGGTCAAAATGAGATTCAAGTCATCTTCCGGATCTTCATCCTCAACTTGGAAAAAAAAAGGCAGAAATGAACGCATCTGGGATATTTCAAGATAAAGGCAAATTAACTTTTCCCCCATCATAATTAATACAGATCATTATAAAATCGCTGACGGCCAGTGTTTTTACGAGCTCCACAATGTGCAAAGTCATTTAATTAAAAAGCTTCCTCTGAAACTTCATCATCTTGAACAGAAACCCCCTTGAGAACAAGGACTTCAGCAGCAGAGCTGACATGAATAAAACAGTCTCCATTATTGTATAAAACACCTGTGATTGAGTAAAAACATCCCCTGCTTTATAGTCTTTAGAGAGCGTGACATCGTATAATTCAGTCTGAGGAGCAATTCTGCAATTCCTTCTATTGCAGAAGAAGTTCTGTGGGAAAAAAAAGCACACAGAAGATCAAACATAGAAGTCCAGTCTGGCGGGAATGACCTTGCAGCCCTGCATGGAGAAGACACGCTCCTCTTTAGGGAAGTAGTTCAGGTCGCGGGCCATGGTTTCAACCACTTCTTTATCTGGGGCGCGACCCTTGGAGACCATCTCAGCCAAACCGCACTGAATGACGTGCTTGTACTCCAGAGGAAGAAATGGCACGAAGAAATCCACCAGGTTCATATCGATTAAGCTAGTGTGCCAGAAACCACCTGCAGAAAGAGAGAAGAATGATAATGCAAATGTAATTAATTAAATAATGCACTTGAAAGTGTAAATAAACTACAGTGAAACTAATGAACGAGATAACAATGCATAACGATCCACTGCCGTGAAGATTTTCTGCTCCATATATAAGCAAATGGGAAAGAGAAATGAGACGTACTGTTTTTGTTGTTGAAGACGGACAGTGACAGTGCCGTCTCTAGATCCTTCAGCTGGATCTCCTCTCGTTCTCTACCATCCTTCCAGAAATTCAGAGCCACCTCAACGATTTTCTCACCTCCAGCGTTGCTATAAGAACAAAAACAAGTAAGTTACAGAGGCTGTTGGGATATATATGCCACCTTTGCTTTTCAACTGTTGAACATGGAGCTGCATAGAGATCCCCATATCTCTGGGAGTGGTTTCACAATTTGAGTTGAATTACTGAAATAAATGAACTTTTCCACGACATTCTAATTTATTGAAATGCACCTGTAGGGCCTTAAAAATGAAGATTCCAAAAGAAAAGTTTCTTAATGAATATAAAGTCATTATATATAGATCAGTGGTAAAATTCAACGTTTTGGACATGGAGCTGCTTTGGGATCCCCATATCTCTGGTATTGAACCATTTAGAGACTTCAGTGTTTCCCCTATCATTATATTAGGTGAGCGGCCCGCCCCCACCCCCAACGACCCCCCCCAGAGTTAAAGTTAATTTTATTTTCTCTATAGCGCCAGATCACAACAGAAGTCATTTAAAGTTACCTTTCCTATAGAACATGTCTATACCTTGTTCCTTTATTAAACAAACTAAATAGCCATATGTTATTTATCTTATTTACACGACGGCATGTCATTTACATGGTAGCGCTCTCTGGATCGCGCACATAGACTGTGATCACGCACAGCGGAGTTCCGCCCCGATGTGCAAACACAAGTGAGAACACTCCCACTCCCACTAGTATTTGTAAATATTAAGCCGCAAAACGACTATTTAAATATGAATTCTGCATGTCTCTGTGTTAATGAATGGCGCAGATGCACGGTTTTGTTTACTACTCGTACTAAAGCACGCGTGACGCTTCCGGTGATATTAACGTATTAAAACCTTATTTTTAAGGAATAATCATACAATATTTCTTCAGTATTTTAATTGTAATATTAAATCCCCTTTATTTTCCAAAAAATTAAATTTGTTTCATTTTCATTAATTAAAAGATAAATTAAATGAATGTTTTATGCCTTAAAAATGTAAATACACAACACAGAATTTCTGAGGGGGGAAAAAATCATAAGGCGATTGTAAGAATAAATTAAACTTGTTTTTATGCTTTCAAATAATTAGACATGCTAAAACACAGAATTTGGTAACAATAAAACAAAGTTGGAAAAAATAAAACATTTTTGGGCCCTAAACATGTCATTTTTGTTAAACTTTTAATAAATTGATGTTAAACGGTTTAAGTTTCATGATTTTAATTAATTAGACATGCTTTTTGATTAATACAATTTAATTTAACCATTAAAAAGGAGTCCAGAAAAATTTAAACGGGAAAAAAAAGGAATTTTTGTAAAGTTTCTGGAAATTTACAGAACATTTTCCACCCCTTTGCAACCCTAGTTACAAGCACAAAAAAAATCTAAAAGTGCAATTTTTCTATTTTTAAACTGCCACCACTGGCATACAATGCAACAAAAACTAATAAAGGTAACATATTTTACTAAAAGACATACCAATCTCTGGGTAAAAATAACAATAATACTGCCATCTTTCTAAAGTCATTTTTACCCCCTGTAAATTGGCTCCGAATCTCAGGTGAAAATTGTAATTTTGATCCTCCTCTACAAAATAGTGGATTACTCGGTGAATGACATTTAATATTTTGGCTTTCATCACTATTCATGTTTGTCTTTCTTCAGGAACGATAGTAACAAAATCAAACATTGTAACTGGAGAAGTTTCTGAAATTTGGTTGATTTGAGATTTTTTTTGGTCTGTACCACTCAGCCTGACAGCAGCTCAGCATCAAGCACACTGCACAATGACGACTAGTGACCAACTGCATTAACTACAGATTAACAGAATTCTGACGACTCTGACCTGAGGAAGATGAAGATGGCCTTTCTGTACGACACTCCGTTCAGGTTGTCGTAGAAGTCCAGGTAAGGTTTAATACTGTCGATCAGCCCGGGATGCATTTTATCCATTTCATCGAAGATGAACATCGAACGTGGACAGATAGAAACATTCCCTCGTATCCACTCCTGTAATTGGGTCTAAACACAGATATGACTATAAAATATTCTATTTAATCACCATACAGGATGCTTTGTGTTGGTGCAGTGAAATAAAATGTCATTTCCATGTATTTTTGCATTACCTTGTACTTGTTAATGTGAGCCTCGTGAGGAAAGTGTGCTGTCGCTGTAAACAGATGAACAAAATTGCTCATCATCCCTTTCTGGTAAATATTTTCCGCTATAAGCTGGCTCACAAAGTTCTTCCCGGTCCCGGTCCAGCCGTGGAGGGACAGAACCAGCGGTTTCTTTGGGTTTTCGTTGTTCATGAAGCCTGTGACGGCTTTCAGGATGACCTGAGCCGCGACATGCTGCCCGTACAGCTTCGTGCTGAGGTCATACTTCAGTCCTGTGGATGAGACGACAGGTTTACAGCAAACAAATGATTTATACATACACCTGCATTTAAAATTAATAAATTATATATTGGACAACAAAACATGTTTAATTGTTTACAATGCGGTTATTATAGTTAACTGAAAGTAAAAAAAAAAACATTTTAATTGCTTGAAACATTAGGTAGTCTGGACTAAAGTCAAATAATAATAGTATAATACACTTTTAATACAGTAGTCAACATTTGAAGTGGATCAAAAAAGTTAATCAAAGTTGTCCTAAGACAAGAACGCATTTTGGTTTTAGGTTAACTTTGATGAATCCACTTCAAATGTTGACTGGTGTATAATACATTCCAAACATTTTGCACAAAAAATAATCAATAATCAGTTTAATAATTTGTGACCCTGGAGCACAAAAGCAGTCTCAAGTCGCTGGGGTATATTTGTAGCAATAGCCAAAAATACATTGTATGGGTCAAAATTATAGATTTTTCTTTTATGCCAAAAATCATTAGGATATTAAGTAAAGATCATGTTCCATGAAGATATTTTGTAAATTTCCTACCGTAAATATATCAAAACTTAATTTTTGATTAATAATATGCATTGCTAAGAACTTTATTTGGACAACTTTAAAGGCGATTTTCTCAATATTTAGATTTTTTTGCACCCTCAGATTCCAGATTTTCAAATAGTACTTACTTCAGCCAAGGCGATTTCTCATTTTCATTTAGTTTAACTAAAACTACAATAAAATTTATAAAAAGACAAACTAAAACTACAAACATGACAAAAAGTACAACAAAATTACTAAAAATTAACTCAAATGAAAATATAAAAATAAAACTTGATTCAATATTAATAAAGACTATCTCAATTATACAAAAATAACACTGATTTACAAATCAAATTGATTCTGAACGAACAAATCATTGAGATAATAAGACAAGTTTCTTTGTTTACAATGATAATTTGAAAATAAACAATTTGACTGTCTGCAATATTTAAAAAAAAAAAAAAAAAAGATAGCTAAAAATGAACACATAATAATTATTTGTATTAAAAAGCCATTATAAAAATGAACAAAATCATAACGAACGAGAGAAAGAAACAAATGTGTACTAGAAGTGGATTTTTGGCGCTTTCGACGGAGATAATGCACAAAAACATCACCCATATCACCACAAGATGAACTGTAACACACACACTGATCAAATGTTCACCTGTTGCATTAAAGTGGAGCCAGTTTTCATCGCATGTTTCATATAAGTAGCGATAGAGTTTCTTGCCCAGCACTGCAGCTCCCGTCCCCAGCAGCAGCGAGGTGGACACGGGCTCTATGGCCTCCACGACCAGCCCTGAGATCAGGATTAAGTGCAGTACGGTTGTCCATGTGCGAGGCGGCCGAACTTTCATTGTACTAAATAAATCATCGATATGTTTAATTGGAAACTGAAAGACCCAACCCACGCCCCCGCCACTTCCTACTTGGGAAGAGTGACGTCGTTTGCGTGCGACGCAGGACGCATGCGCGCAGCGTTCTGTTCAATAGTGCATGTTGATACATTTGGTCGAGCATTGCCAAAATCATATATATATATATATATATATATATATATATATAAAAAATGTCGC